GTAATCTCATGCCAGGTTTCTTTATTTCTATGTAGATGTCAACACGAAGGATGCGAAGCAAGATTCCAAGTACCCAGCAAATTGAAAAGTCATGCCAAAATTCACAAAGGTGGGGTTTTGTACTTGCTGTGGAATGACTACCCCTGGTATATCACAGCCCGTCGTTCCAGTGCTACTGTTTTCAGTTATTTCACACCCTGACCATTCTTTGATGTCGTCCACCCATCACACCTGTGGTTGGGCCCACATATTTGATCTGATCTTAGTTGGTTTGATTTTCATTACATTTTATTTTTGTCCCGTTGAAAGGTTACACATGCAACAAAGAAGGCTGTGGCCGTCACTTTGACAAATGGACTGGCCTTCGCAAACACCTGTCAGACGATCACATCACAGGTATTTCGTTAAGATTTTCCTTGCTTACCTAAAGTAAAAAAGCAGAATAAAAAGGGGGATTCCGTGTCATCATTTAAACTCAAACCTTTCCCCCCTTTTTGGGAGCTGCGGAACAAGTGCAAGCCTATGTAACACCGATTTCCATCTCCTGTCCGTCCATCCATCGGGCGGGCAGTCCATCCGGCCGTCCGGCCGTCCTCAAATGTTTAAGTTTTTCCTTGCAGGTCCATAGGTGTTAAAATGTGCCATTGAGTGCTTGCTTGCTTCCTCTTGAATTCCATCAGTATTTAAATAGTATCATATGGAATTAATGCTTAGAAACTTATGAATTTTATTAGACAGTGTTTAGACACATAAAATGTACATGTACAGTATGTTGGAAAAAATGTAAGGGATGGGGGGGACTCTAAGTGACAGATTAGGATGTTTGTTGGGGGAGGGGTACCTGTAGGAGGAGGATCATGGGGACAAGATACATGTATGAAGAAAGTGGATGAAATGCTGGATAAGGTTGGCATAATGGTTGGGGCTGGATTAGTGGGATGATGGGACAGCCAGAGTAAGAAGTGAAGGGAATGATGGAGATGGGATGGAGTAGGAGATGGATGGGATGATGGGGAGGGGGTAGAGTAGGAGATGGATGGGA